AGTTTGAACTCAAATAATCAAGTAGAGATGATAACTGAATCATCACTGATGGTACGAGCGTATTTATGTGAGAATGCATCCCTACTCGACAGTATATCTAAATAGCTTCACGGAATACGCTCATGAATGAACACAAATAAAAAATTACCTTTGGATCTTCTGTAGCATAAAGCTCCTGTGTTTTTATCCAACGAGAACATAATTGTTCCCAAACAGTCCTAGCCAGAGCTACGTAAAAATCACGCATTGTAGCGATGTTACGATCTTTGACGACGTAAAAATGTAGGCTTCTGTTGAATGAATCCCTTAAATTTTTCGCATCTTGAACTATACTTAATTCTTTATACGAAGAACAACGCCTGCTATTCATGTTTGTGACGAAATCAGATTAGGACTTGAAATAGTGGATCAGCCTATAAATCCCAAATCTAGGCACTCAAACAAAATAAAATCTGTATTTAAGATACATTAATTTCAAGAAATAATTGTTCACAATCTTCTTTGAAAACATAATTTGCTAATCAGACGCCATTCCAGTGAGTATTTTATCATAATCGCTGGTTTTGCAAATCTATTTTTCTTGTGATTTGAATAGTAATCTAAAGTTCGATATTGAACCCAAAAACATCCCTTATATTTATAGAAAAAGAAAACAGAACAAAGGAAGGGCAGGATTTTGAATCCAAGTGGTAGTCTCGATCTTGTAAGATCGATTTTTGAGGATGCAGTGGTATCTTTTAAGCTACTCATCAGATCATGTGTGTCGTGGATGGTGCAATGATCTGTGGTGATTTTCTTCCTAAATCTCCGAAAAACACCAACTCGACTCATATTGTCGCTGTCTTTTTAAAGGATCATGTACAATGAAGGTACGCATGAGCTGTTTAGTGGCTTAATATTTCCCAATTCCTTGATGTGGTCGAATTCGTTTTCGGTCAACCTCAGCTTTTCTTGAGCTAATCGGGGGGGCTTTGGACAATCCAGGTAGTCCTGTAGTCGTGATAGGGTGTCTAACACCACTGGTCATGCACTCTGATTTCGTTCGCGTTTCGTAAGTTCAGGCTACTTGTTGAGTTTCCGTTGAAAGCACGGATAGATTACACGCTTAGTTGGGGATAATCTGCAATTAGAAAATGAAGTCCCACAAACAGACAACCTATTATTTCGTTCAATTAACCTTCCTGCTCGGTTCGGTGAGTAGCAGGTATTTGGTATAGAAACATATACAGCAACGAAAATACAGTGACCTGATTTAAATAAACCCATGTTAAGATAAATATATACCTTTTGGTATATGACGATGGGTTTCCCATTTGTCACCTGTAAATTAAAAACTTTTTCATGCAGACGGACGTTATAATTTTCCGGAAGAACGATTATTTCTGAGTTGTTTTTGATGAGATAGAGAACTTCCATTATCATAACGGTGATGTAAAAGAGACGGCTATGTCCACTAGTTACGGTTACCATTAACGCATACCGGTGGGCAAGTTTGTAGAATTTTGGTCTACTTCGTCATTGGCACTTTTATAATTATAGAGTTAATCCTAAACTTTTATGTGCGTTGTGATGTGAAAACCTAACCTGTAAGACCTTACGTGTAAAAACATCAATATGTCTGCAAAAAACACATCAGGCCTAAAGATGGAATGGCATATTTAATGGGAGTAAAGACATGTTATACAGAGTGATGACGTCTATAAAGCTAAGCCATGCCATCCGAAAGAACTGAATTGATTTTCCTCGCCTTTTTCATCGTTGGTCTTCCCTCCGCTTCAAATGTCGAATATCTAGTTTACCAGTTATCTCGTGATCAGCTTCGAGAATTGTGTGGTTAGGACCCGAAGCCATTATATGTTTCCCAAAATCTTTTTGGTGTCGGACGGTTGAGCGGTCGGGAAGCATTTCTTTGATGAATTTACAAGCGTTCACGATTACAACGAACATGGAAATAAGGAGTCAGAGTATGACAGAAGCTCGAGACTTCTTATCGTGTTCTTTGAGGCCTTTAATGGATAGAATAGACGGTGCCGAATGGTTTGATCTTCAGAACCCGATTGACAAGCACAGCCACTTAGTCCACGGCGTTATTTTAAAGGAAGACAAGAACTGCCTGAACCTTTCAATTAAGCATGGACACTTGTCAAAAGTCCATTGACCAATGGCTTTTCGCATACATAGAAACATTTCTGTTGCTGAGCCATGTTGCAGCTCGACAGTGTGGAAGAGTTGATAATAACTTTGTTGGTCGGCTATGCCTCCTCGCACATGAGCAGCCTTCTCCAATATTTCTCAAGGTCCCAAGACATCATATGTGAACATACTAGGTGTGACGGATCTGTTAAACTGGGGCGGTAGCGTCTTCACTACTGTGGGGAATTCGGCTTGTGGCTGGGTCACGCCATGCTCGTGAAAGTCATTTTCTGAGTAGCAGAACCAGTTTTTTATATTGTCTTGGCAGAATGACATGAGCTGAAGGGTAGGAGACGAAAAAATCTTAGCTTTGAATAGCTTAGGTGTCCACTCCGTCATGATGAACATAAAATAAACCAATAGACAAGAAGAAAATGTCCAAAAATATGAAGACAATATCACATTACGTAAAATCAAAAGCTAAAAAATGATATCGAATGTTCCGACGAACAACAAACTCACAGTGTACTGTTTGATGTGCCTGATCACATCAGACTCACTACTAAAGATGCCACAGGTATTCGGGGTTTGACGACGTTTTTCCACAAAACGCCTTTATGATTGAAGCATACTAACCTAGTCAAACCAGAAGTCAGAAATGAGGAAATTAGAAAGTTTATTTGGCAACTTATCGATATATCGAAAAGCGTTGGAACTAAGTTTGTTAGTAGGTGTAAGGAATGTGTATCATGGGATGCTCACTCGTGATCTGATGCTGATGCATGACCGAGTGTTTTCAGCTAGGGCGCGTCTAGTAAAATTAATGAGATCAGCCTCAATATGGAAGACTTACAGAATTACTTATTTGGATGATTTACTTACCTATACACCCCTTAAGGTAACAAATACTTTAGAAAGTACACAAATACAAGCAACCACGCGATTTGAAATACGAAAATTATAAAAAAGTGAATAGGAAACCAGTGTTTATGAGCATACACTTCATAGGTGATCCAGGTAGTGAAATAGTGATTTAGTGATTACATAAAATAATTTAAAGATAATTCAGCACCGAAAACCTAAGATCAGTGTTTCCTATGCATTTGGGTGAGGCTCCAAGGCTAAAATATGAATTACCTGGAATTATCACCTTGTTTTAAAATAATCAATTCGACTGACTCTCACGAACAAATAAAACAGATCAAGGTTCTAGGAATCGACATTTCCACTCACGAAAACATCTAGCATGGTTAAGCAAAGGCATAGTCACGAATATGGCTCAGTACTAGCCCATTTATTTTTGACTGGTTATACTGACAGCATAAGTCAACCACTAACTGCTTCACCGGGCTAGTAACTTTCTACTTAGGTTTGGGGACTGACTGTTCTCCTAACTACGAAAGCAACAACTACTCATATTGACAGACTATGGCAATGTGCACAATGTAAGTACAATCAACCCGTTTTGTTACCTTGGTCAATATCAGAGCCTATGTTTCAGTAGAAGTCCTAATTACAGAATTACTTAATTTGACGAGAACATCCATACTTTCTAATTTAAATGTTACTGTTCTTTTTATTTATAAACATGCTAAAGTCACCACAAAAGTGATTATTATTTAACCTTAATTTTACAATCCTTAAAACACTTGTAACTTAGTTATCACCTACTTCACGTGATTAATTTTTACAGAATTCATATCACTAAATAAACTATTAAAGATGCCACAAGTATTCGGAATTCAACAACGCTTTTATCAGTAACACCTTTATATTTGAAATATGCCAACCCATCGAAATCATAAGTCATAATTGAGGAAGTTCAAAAATATTGGAAATACCACCGGTACCGTAGTTTGGCAACACTTTAGAAGTAACACCTATAACCGAATCGCGCCCACCCAGTAGAATCAAAAGTCAGAATTGAGGAGGTTGGAAGATATATTTGATGAGTTACCAATATATCGAGATGTGATTGATCTAATTTGGCCAATGATCGCAGGAGATGTTTCGCACGCCGTTCTAAAACGTGATCTGGTATGGATGCATGACCGAGCGCCTTAAGCTAAATGAGTCCACTAAAACTAATGTGGTCAGCATCCAATGTCGAACACCTATAGTGCTATTGACTTTGGGGATTTATCTACAGCTACAATATTTTTGGAAGTCTATCGGTATGTAGAAGAACATTTAGTTTAAGCTCGCTAACGGTCGTAAGGAATGTGTATCATGGGATGCTCACTTGTGATCTGGTGCAGATGTGTGACCGAGCGTCTTCAGTTGGGTGAGTCCAATAAAAGTGATGCGGATAACATTAAATATTGACGACTTACAGAGCTATTTATTTTGTGGATTTATATACCGCTACACTATTTTTATGATGGAAATGGACTATTGGTTAGTATACGAAATTACACTGGAATGATACAGACAACGTTTCTCAGTAAATTCTTCAGAATACATAAGTTTCTATCTAAACAGGAACTTGTGACCATATCGCGATTGTCTAGTGTGAACCTTCACTTGGATTGAATATACCGTATTGCCACTGGCTTGACAGTTATACCTGCAAGAGGTCAGATTATCTTTGGACGTATCACCCTTAAAATTCCGTCGGAGATATGGGATGACTCCTTACTTAATAAAACTCTGATTCGTCTACATAACACTATTATTCGAACTAAAGGCTATCCGTTCATTTTTAATTTCCGATAAAGAGATTATCGTTAACACTTTGAAAGAATAGTTAAACAGGATCTCAGGTTAATGAGCAATGGAATGTCACAAAATATCATGTTTGAATATTTCTGTACTTTGTACAATACTGCTTAGCTGTATTTGTTTGACTGCGTCGGTTGCATCAACTCATTCGACTCTTTCAAAGCTACGAAATTGTGATATGTTGTCTGATGCTGAGAAGAGGAAGCAAATTAGTGTGAGAGGGATTGCTCAGTTGGAAAATGTGACAAATCTCAAATCTGACTTCAATAGACACCTGCATTTCGATGGAGTTAAGGACAGGAACGTCGCAACGTCTCTCGACTTCTATCAAGCGTTGGCACGTACAGTTTGGGATCATCTTTGCTCTCGCTGGATTCGATCTCAGCAGTTTTACCATAGAGAGGATCCAAAGGTTAGTCATTTCTTCAGTGTCTCAACATTGCTATGTAATTTGAACTGCCGATTTGTCGTTTTTTCGACTTTTGAGGAAGACACAATTAACTTCCCCTGCGTTAATAAAGTATTTACGAAGTTAGATCCGTTTGATCATTCTCTGCGTGAAAAATCATCCTATTGTATATACTTGAGCAGGCAACAGCTAAAATTCTTTTTAACTGCAGTTTTTCATGGACTATTTTTGATATATTCAGAACGTTTGTCATATATTTCATCTATGAAAATAATTAAAGTTACGTTGGCCGTTATATTTAAAAAACAATTTTTTCAACATTTTTTCTCAGTGAGCTGATGAACAGGTATTTATAAACTCATCATGTTCGAGAGTTTGACATCGTAAATTTATGACCAAATTGTGCCGATCTTTACTGTATCCTAACATGTTGCTTCGTTATTAGTTTGGTGCTATCCTCATATTCATGCTAGCTGAAATATACACTATATATTATTAAAAAAATGTGTAATATGTAGCTAGGATCCTTTTTGTTTGTGGGACTATTGAAAATCAAGGTCATTTATTGACGTTTTATTATTCATATTGATGTAATTCACTTCAATAAGACAAGTTCCTATGTCAGTAAACATTGTGATGATGAGGAAGATGAAAGGACTTATTGGCAATCAAACACAAATTTTATTTACAGCTTGAAACTAAGGTTTGAAGAAAAACTCACTGATAATAGCGGTCCTTGTAATTTATGAATTACTAAAAATATTCTGATACTTTGTGTGGTCGAAATTGATATACGAAGCATAAGTATGTCTAACTACTCAGATGGCCGGTGTGATTACTTCGTTTTTCTTACTTTACCACTCAGGAATCTTTTGATAAAGTACCTTAAAACTACAGAATCACAATAAAAGTTACTTTATGGTGATTTCCCAGGTCTCACATGTGCAGGCACCAGAAATGATGTATTTTCCTGCATTTCTCAAAGAAGTGAGTAGTGCGTCGCTAGACTGCTCTCTTTAAACGCTGAAAATGGTTGCGTAGACATTAAAAGTTTCTCCTGATCATACCATCTTGTTAAACATGAACGGAATAGTTTTAAGAGGTCGATTGGAATTTGTGGAACCTTTTAAATCTTACCTCGCTATCAAAATAAGACTCAATATTCGGCACTGACTACGTAAACATGCTACTATTTTAGGAACAACATATTTTGTTGTACGCACAAATAATACTTCATTACCTTAAACGGTGTGAACGAAGTATTGTTTATTTTTATGATGCACCTCAGTCACGAGAAGCTTAACTTGTCGACTCCTACCTTGTTAACCACCTTACAGCTTGATCTCAGCCCCTCCCCACTTCATTTCAGTGTACAAATTTGCAAACAATTTGGATTCTGTTGCTCAGTATTATTATTCCTGTTATTTTACTACAAACAGACAAAGCTGATTATCTTCTTTTCACATTGCAGCGCATATACTATTTGTCGTTAGAATTTTACATGGGTCGCACTTTGACTAATACAATGCTGAATGTAAATATTACTGCTGCAGTAGATGAGGCGATGTACCAAGTTAGTTTTAATATCTTGCAAAGCTCAAGATTTCACAGTTTTCAGTATTTTTCATAAATTTCGGCTCATGCTAAAATTTGAAGTTTACGAAATTGGAAGTGACTCTTAACAGAAGTCGGTGGCTTCAAAGAGTAATATCATATTTGAATTCGGTCACCCCTAAATGTTTGGAACTTAAACGTAACTACACTATCATAAACCCTTAATGTTTTGACAAGCCAGATCCTTCAATGTTTAGTAAGATTCGAATTTGAGTAAAGTTCGAAACCGTTCTTGTATCAGTGAACTAAAGACTTATTTTAATTGTAGCTTTACCACAACTGAGGAGCATCTGATTGGTGATATATATATATATATATATATATAGTTTTATGTTTGTTAAATTATAGGTACTGACGTAGTTATTTCCTGTAGATCTAATAAAAAAGTAAAACGCTTCGTTTATTGACACAAATTGAATGTGAGATATTCGTGAACCCGCTAAACCATAGTTTTAACCTTTAATTGTCAATTTGCCTTGTTTTTTGTATTTATAGATATGAAACTAACTGATTAATAAATGTGTTTTGATAGTCAGTTTCAATGCAAGTAAATCCGTTCATCATAGTTCAAGAAACAAATAAAGGCGTAGTATTAACATGTTCAACCACTCAGTTCCTATTGTTATGGATTCACTTCTCATAATTCAAGCCAACAATAGATGATAACGTGTTACATAAGCCTGATTCATAGGATTTCCTTATACCATTATTGTTTCAGAGGTTCGCACTGTAGAAAGACCAGCTCTTTTCATCAGTAAAATGTTTCGACTTCGTTAAATGTCTAAGTGTTTATTTGAATTCATAATAACCATTTTGATCGGTCATCTCGGTCTTTAGCCAAATGAAGGAACATCTTGGAAATTGTACTTACCAAGTGCTATTTTTATTCCTTCTATCGATCATTGGTGATTACATACAGACACCACACATCAAAACACCTCATCAAATACAGAACAGTAAGTGAGTGTATGGGATTTAACGACATAACTAGATATCAGAAAGCTCTTCAAATGCATTTTTGTCACACTGACACATACGAACCATTGATTTATGTAACCATGTCCTTGTTATTTAGTGTATTCCCTTGTTTGACAGAAGTATTTCTGATAGTCATTGATGTGTACATAAGAGGCCCATATTTTGTATGTTAACATTATCTCGTAAAACGACCAAATACTTCTTTAATTAGGTACGTCTCCAACAATACCCTTCACATGAATAAGAAAAATATACTCAAAACAGGATTCAAAAATGTTTTAAAATAATATGTTTGAGGTGTTTTGGTCTAATGTCATTTTAATTAATCAGTCAGTTCATAAGAGCTTTCGTCAGTGAGTAGTTTCGGATAGTCTGTCCGAAATAACTGTCAAAGTATTTAATTTCTGATTTTGTTTACGTGAATATAGTTGGGACTGGATATTGAGGAGCTAGAGGAAATGGAGTCTGATGCTGGTCTTGGTAATGGTGGGTTAGGACGTCTAGCTGCCTGTTTCTTGGATTCCATGGCAACATTAGGGTTGGCCGCTTATGGATACGGCATCCGTTATGATTATGGAATTTTTGAACAATCTATTCGCGATGGCTGGCAGGTAAGCACATTTTTAAACTGTAAATCATAATAAAAAAAAACTAAAATAAGCACTGAATCATCCCTTTTGGGATATAAATTTCAAAATACGATTTCACAGAAAGAAATTAAGTGAAGGACCACGTGTTACGTGTGTCTGAACACCGATTACCACGACGCTCTATGCCGACTAGTATTGGAAATGGTTGGAAGAGAATTAGGGGCGGCCAAACTAAAACGTGGTATCAATGCATAAAGTCACTGACTTTTAGTCTGAGCCATATTGGTAGATGCAGACTACTTGGTTGCGGTCTGCGTGATTATCGTAACCAGTAGTGGTTGGAGACTCTAGGTGACATGGCTCAGAATCGATCGCAATGGCGTAGGTGTATACACTCTTTGTCCTCCCTTGAACCATGAGATTAAAATTACTTCATATCTGTCTTTCTTCCTGTACTATATCCTTATATACAATCTTTCTTTTGTATACTACCACCACCACCACTAAATTAACTACTATGAATTCGGTGTTTATCTTGTTGTGCTAATGAGGTGTGGCAACTTGGACCGATGCATATATGTGCCTGGTCCTACGTTTTAGCTGACTGACTGAAGGACTAAGCATTGATTTTTAATTAGATTCTCATCGTTCGTTTTCGTTTTAATCCAGGGTGATGTCTGTTCATTTGACTATGGATTAATTTGCTGAGTATAACATGAGTTTCATATTAATTAATTTACTGTAATTTTTTCTCACTTGACTTTCATTAAGTATATTATTCAGTTGTATTGTTGTCGTGTTATTTTGTGCTCAAGTGACAACTATTTAGCTCAATTATTTCCGTAATTAATAATCATTGAATTTAGTCGTAAAATAAATAAATGAACTCATGAGTAATTCCAACTCTTCTGGAGTCTTACCGAATAAACCGTCCCTACAAGGTTTGTATTTTGCAGTAATCGAAACAAGTAAGAGAAAAAAGCTGTGCCACCTTGGCTATAAGTGAAGTTGTGATATCCTTTGGTACCACAAGCTACCTCAAGATATAATTGCTTTATATAAAATCCTGTGGTAAGTGATATCTATAGGCTTGAATAAGTTTTCTTTCTTTGGTTAGGGTAAATTGGCAAGAAAAGATGTTGACTTACAGTGTTTGTTATTGATCAATTGCACAAGAGTTAATTATTCTAGGGATGTTCTAGCCTAAAGGTTTTCGTATATTTTCATTTTGTACGTAGGTCGAAGAACCCGATGAATGGTTACGCTTTGGAAACCCATGGGAGAAAGGTAGACCAGAATATTGCTATCCTGTCAATTTTTACGGGCGTGTTGAAGATGCTGGAAATGGACGTAGACGATGGGTTGATGCTCATCCAGTCTTTGCAATGCCCTATGACACCCCAGTTCCAGGGTATAGAAATAACACCTGCAATACTCTTCGGCTGTGGTCTGCCAAAGCTCCAAAAAGTTTTGATCTCGGTATATTTAATATGGGTGATTACATAAACGTAAGATAATTTGTTGTTTGTCCAAGATCTCTTACAAAACTATTGACATTTTTAAACTACCATAACTGATTCGGCTGAAAATAACGTTAGTTAAAGTATGAAGTTGTTTGCCATCAACTGAACATATTGAGACAAAAATGCATACGGTGACGTTGAAACTACCATTTTGTGTACTTGCAGCCTAAAAAGAATAGATGTCGTGTGCTGTTGCTAATTATGGTTTTCAAAACAATATCTTTTTGTATTCTGTTACAAGGCAATCTTTCCTTTAGTTCCATCTGAAGCAGTCTTTTATTGAACAATATTAGCTCGATTCCTGTGCAACAGGTCATCTCTTTTAGTCACACTTTATGTTATTCAATACTATTATCTATTTCAGCCTTATGCAAAACGAAACATGTTTTTTTTGTAAACAGGTGAAAATGTTTGAGATCGTAGTGAGTTTGCTTTTCTGTTTTCATCACACTCATTCAATCGTTTCAAAGATATTTTAGTGATTCTTTTTATTCTTTCTCTACTGTAGGCTGTATGTGCACGTAATCATGCGGAAAATATTTCCCGAGTTCTTTATCCGAACGACAATTTCTTTGTTGGAAAGGAACTTCGCCTTCGTCAAGAGTATTTCTTAGTTGCTGCCACTTTGCAGGTAATATTCTGCGAAAATTCTACTTATTTTTGTCATATAGGAACTCCGAAAAAAATAGATCTTATGAAATCAGCACTGTCACTTCTCTATGTGACTAGCATGAATAAAATAGAAGCTGAAAGGGATTTAGGCCATCAAGTCTAAATCTTATGGTTTACATTTTCAACGCATATATATATGCTCTTTAAGAAAATTATATGGCCTCCCATTGAATAGGAGGCCGCATAACAGTAACTATAATTTGAAGAAAGACAAATCAAAAAGTATAGATCAGTATTGTTATTCCTTTGGTCGATATATCAAGAGTTATATTTTGTTCAGCATACTTTACATTCCATTTACTTCAACTAAATTAATCCGTTTGAAACGTAATCTTGTCGACTCTAAACTAATCCGACAATTACATTAAGTAAAAGTTAGTGATTGACATTGATACGTAATTAGTGTTTTGTAAGTATACCGTGTATAAGTTACTTTTACCTAGCAATCATATCACATAGCCAACATACAACGTTACCGATTTCATCAAATTAAAATTTACATTAACATGTTGAGTCTATAGAAACAGATCTTTCTCGTTTACGTATATACTAACCTTCGTATTCTGTTTTACAGGATATAATTCGACGTTTTAGAAGTAATGATTCCCATCATCGATCGTTTGATGAATTTCCCAAAAAAGTTGCTATCCAACTGAATGACACACATCCCTCACTGGCAATTCCTGAATTACTACGTATCTTAGTCGACTTAGAAGGTTTAGAGTGGAAAAAAGTAAGTGTCTAACATAGTAATAAATAATCACTCAAGTTTCTGACACTTAAAATTCATTTTTTCAAATAGACAGAATATTATCTGCCATTCTAGATTTCTACTACCAAACGGCACTAAGAAGAATATGTCAAACCACAGACACATTTTACTTGAAACGATTGATCTTGGCTCGAGTTTAGTTAATGTTCCACCTGACAATGACACAGTGATATCTCTCCTAATCACAAAAATGTATAGGTTTGGTCACCATTTCTAGGATGTCACCAAGCCTGGTTATTTCCACCGAAAATAAACATATTCGGCTGTCATACTATGTATGTTGTCTGAGAAGACAAACTTTAATATGTACCGGGAGCCTTACTACCATTTTGGTTACTTTCAGTAAGTAAATGAATACTATAACACATGACGAGCATCATAATTAGAAATATAGTATGTTGTAGTAAAAAGTGTTGATGTTAGGCACACATGTACTAGACAAAGATGGTGTTATGACTCGTAGGTTGAACGCTTTATTCGGATCCTAGCTATTCGGATAACCCCAGGCTAGCACTACTCAGCGACTTGAAAGACCAGAGAGAAGACACGAGTATCAGAGAATCACTTTACTACAAGGTTCATTTATGTACGGAAAAACAGGGGTTTTATAGTAATCAAAAAGACCTTGAGATTCCATAGTAGCAGTATGTTTAACAGCCAATCAGGACCTCATTATTTTAGTAGCATAGCTTCTAACTAATCGCTGATTGGTTGGGCTCTTTATGAGCCTCTCTGGAGGCTCTGATAGAGTTTATTGTAAGCCGACCTAACAGATGGCAAATAGATTGATGAGGTAGTGAATCCTCATCGATTGAAGGAGGTAAGACATGTGGTGGTCTAACATTGATCGACCCATGATCTCAATCAAAAAAAGTATTACGTATGTCCAAAAGCCCCCTCTTTCAACAGATGTTTACTGGTGTAAGAACAGGTTTAGGAAAAAGCTAGGGACGACCAAATGGATATATAGTATCGGCCAATGAAATCATTGACTGTTGGTAGGCTCAGAATACATAAAAGATTATCATAACCAGTAAGTCGGATGACATTTCAAAATCAGTCTCAATAGTGTAGATACATTCAATCTTCATCTTTTCTTAGACCTTCAGTCGTAAAGCTATCCTCTTCTCAAATGACTTTTCTGTCACTATACTTAGTTTTTTTCTATTGACACTGATACTTTGCTACTACTACTACTCTGGCATTTGTCTCGATAATTTAATCACACTGTGCTGATACAATGTGACAACTTAATCGAAAGCACATATATACTGATTTTTACGTTACTTATGACTGACTGACCGATAAACTAATCATTACTTTAAATATTTTGGATTCTTACTAATGATTAAAAACATTCAGTTGATTCACATTCTTCACAAACTGTAAATAATAGTACCATGATGCAAATTACAAAATTATTAAGTTCATATTTCACCTCTAAAATAATCTTGTGTCTTAATCTTCCTAAGGTTATTCTGTAAAGTATTTCGTAACTTAATCTTATATTCTCTTTATCTACATATAAAAAGGCATGGGATATAAGTTACAACACATTTGCGTATACAAACCATACAATCTTACCTGAAGCATTGGAACGTTGGCCTGTCACATTGTTGGAGCATATATTACCACGTCATTTAGAAATTATCTATCAAATTAATGCTGAGTTCTTAGATGTGAGTTTCTATGTGAATCTTAATATATTTATATATACAAGGATACAGATGTAATGATATTTTGCTATAAGATTATATGAATGAAGCATACATAGTGCAAAACAGCTTATATTAAATTTTCTATAGAATGAAAAGTCTGGATGACTTATCATATTCACAGACCTATCGATGAGAAAAGTATGAAATAAATTGAACATCATCCTTCAGCAGTGTTTTTTCTCAAATAAAAGTAGCTTAATTGATTCATGAAACGTTTGGTATGATGAGCTTTAGTTTACTTGACCGAAAACTTGCAGTTCGAGCATTAGAAGCAAATTAAATGTTTTTGCAAAATGTTTTTGTTTACCAATGTTATGTATTATGTGCCTCATCAGTTGGAAACATTTGGTTGAATTCAAAAAAGGTTTGTCTCTGTTTACTGTACTTATGAACCTCACAGCACCTGAAATGGTTTGGATTATCCCATTTTTGATATTTTCACTGAAATTTGGTCGGTCGTGCTTGGCATATGTGCATTCTGTGCAAAATTCCTTGATGTAGCCATTATTATATAGAATAAATAGAGTGTAACCAATTGAACAAATCAATGGTGTTTAAAGCGGACGGTAGTGGGTTGGAGTCCAGGAATGAACACCAACTCTTAGATCAGGATACATTCTTCTGTGAGTCTCAAGTGGGACGGAACGTGCCTTCTGAATTGCACTGCTAGCCATGTTTTATCTATTCCATATTACTCCACGTGGTTAAACAGAGGTATAGAAAACAGCATAAATGGTAACTTATGTTTTACGATGGATCGGAATTAATTAACTTATTGACTTGATGGTACTCCAGCAGTCTCACTTGTTTTAGACAGTTTTCTTATTTAGAACAATTCAAAGCAAACTCTGATCAGAGTTGCATTATTGAGCATCCACTCTCACTCTTCATTTTGTAATATTTCGTACATTTAGTTCGTGTATATGTCTTAACGTGGACTGACTATATGGTTCTTTTAAGGATTCCAGCCAGAAATGTAATAACTGAGCACAAATCAAACAACATTTTTTGGTTCTGAATGCCTTTAGATTTTAACTTTGAATTTCAGTATTATTATCACTGTCCTTCAAAGTAGTCATTCTCTATATGTACTTTATTCATTTATCTTGATCAATTCCAAATTATAACTAATTGATTTCATTCGTCATTTAAAAGTAGTCTTTCAACTTTTGAATGTCATTTGTGTTTCTAGTACATGCAAACAACATGTGAAAGATATCTGTGATCAAATAACTGTAGACTTCGCATATTATAATGGAAACTTGCTGAATTGGCCAACCAAATATTATTGACTAACAGTTTGCACTTTTTGACCTTGCTCGAAAAGTCAAGGCCTTTTATAATTTTTTCTTAGTACATGAACAGATATTAAACTCTATTACCACATTACTATTCAAGTTTTACAAGATGAAATTCATGTCATTTTCACAGACAAGCTAACTTAATTAAAATATTTTTAAAAGTTGGAATGGTAATTGTGTTCTAATGTATATCGAAATTTCTTTTCTTAAAATTATCTTTAAATAGATCAACAGATTTAAATTTACTTGTTCCTGCATGAATAAGCGTCTGTACTATATATTCCCTTTGATTTATTTTCTGTTCTTTTTATTTATTATCTAGGTTGTACGTGCAAAATGGCCAAACGATGATGACCGTATTCGTCGTATGTCATTGGTCGAAGAAGAAGGCGAAAAACGTATTAATATGGCTTACTTGTGTATTGTAGGATCTCACACAGTTAATGGAGTCGCAGCAATACATTCACACTTACTAAAAACTCAAACGTAAGGATTTTCAATTCACAATAGATTCACATCATCAAAATTTATTATTATTTAATGTTGCTTAAAGCTAGTTTACATGTAGGTAGCAATAAGCGAACCCTCAGAGTGATAGAGTTCCAACTAATAAAACACTACTGATAGTGATAATATCACAGTAACAGGAATTGGAAAGCAATACTTTTTGATATTGTGTTCTCTGATCTCTAAAGCGCTTATTTTTGGACGTTTCGTCGTCTCTATGAACAAGAACATCAGACTCTACCTCATTTAAAGAGAACGTTCCAGTTATTTCACTCATTATTATAGGGAGAGTTATGGAAACTATATAACTTTCATATGTCAAATCACGAACCGATACTATCTAGACCTCCATTGGGAACCTTAAAGCACTGAACAGCGGTTTCGTCCTAGTGTAGGAATCTGCAGCAACACGCAGTCATAACACTGCATCCTGTAATGGAGCCCGAAATCTCCGGTCACGTGAGCGGATGCTTGACCTCTAGACCACTGAGCTGGCATCCAATGTTGCACATGTCCAACTTTAACTAATTCAAGATGTTCCGCAACTCTTATCTATTGCTTCAGGTAGATGGCTGCCTCACTTCCGATATGGTTGAACTCCACTGGTCATGGCTTCACACTTGAACTGGGAGATAGTCACTGATAAGCTATTCCGGGATTCATGAGTGAGTACTGCTATCAGATGCTTGCAGATTTCCACTGGTGGTCTAGCTAATATAAGTTTGTCAATCAAACTATTCCACATATCAGAATAGGGGTTTGTGGACTGATTGCCTTGCTTTATAATTGGTTGTCTCCCTTGTTTTTGTTGCTTCCATTTATTCTTGTATTCATATTGACTATCTTTCTGAGTTGACCTCTGACCATGTGATTAGTCGACTTTCTAAGTATGAGCTAATAAATGGGATGTCTGTCGATATATATATTGGCTGTCAGTTGATCTGAATGAGACACCACTTGAAGTTTCCCAGCACTTTAAGAAGATCCTCAGTCCATAATTTCGAGGTTTTTCTCAACCTAATTCATGCCTATTTTTTACGTGCATTGACATGACAACATGTCACGCTACCTCCTTCCTATTCTGTGTTCATGTATGCGAACGTCGTAATGTTTTTCGCAGTTGGTGTAATCTATTTCGTAGATGGTGCTTTGTTTCGTGAATAGAAATTATTATACTTCCTAGAAACTTCATTTCTCCTTATAATTGTTTTTGTTTTCACTTAGATAGCATCATCATCCGTTCACACCTTTATTCATTAAGTTTTATAATGTTTCTGTTATGACTCGTATAACAATCGTTATTTTATATGAAACGTGCAATGATACAGAAAATACGTACGAGCAGTCTTGATTGCGTATCGGCCCTGCTATCTGCCTAGCCCAGCCAGTTGAGTCCAGAACACAAATAACAGCCTCGGCAATATGAATCATTATTCACAAGCACACTGGGTTATATATACTAACCAAACAGACCCAATTATACCAAAAAATAGAAAAATAACATTTGTACAGTAATTGGCCAATGTGGCTGTAGCTAGGGGGAAAGTAATCAATAATAATAGTTCCAAGGTCAAAACAAAGGTTGTGATAAGAGGAACACGGAAACGACTAGGTCACTTATTTAACAACTATCCAATAGGGAATGGGCATATTGTATTTGTCCATAAATAGACATCAGATTTAGGTTACTCATTTAACAACTATCCAATAGGAATAGGCGTATTACATTTGTCCATAAATGGACATCAGATTTATGATTCATAATTCGCCAGGGGATACAACAGTTTCATAATACTTTTCTTGTTGAGAAGTTCGTCACATCGTTAGTGTTTGTCATCATTTATAACGGGTTCTCTCTCTTTGCAAATTCAATATTAACTGCTAGTCTTTCATTCAGTTAGCTCAGAACTTATAGAATAAAATCATTCTGCTAACTAGTGTAATAAAGCCACTGTGGTACAAAAACTTGGCATTTTCCTGTTAAGTAACATGTTTGAAAAACCAGTCCACTTCAGTCTGAATGGTCGAATTGTATCTCTAGTTTTCGTGCAGAACACGTTATTCAAACCCTTGTAGCACTAAATTATAGTCGCTAAATGATCTTTTGCTCTATACAAATTGTTCGTTTCTACTCAATGAATTGTGACTTGTCAATTACATTTATTTACTGCTAAAGGTTTAAACTCATTTTAATTCCTCTCATTTAAGTAGTTACTTGATGTCATCTAAGTTAACAAAGTAAAATTTGCTCATATTTCGTTGTCGGAAAAACGATATACAGTCAACATTGTTTAATCTTTTAGTCTGATAACCATCATATATTATTTCCCATATCTCTATACAGTCACCAACTGAAACTTATACCTCCAGTAGTCATTATTGATTGTCCTCTTTACTTTATTGACCTGAACAATTTTGTTTTGCTACAGTTTCAAAGATTTCGCTGAATTATGGCCAAATAAATTTCAGAATAAAACAAACGGTATAACACCTCGTCGTTGGTTGTTATTGTGTAATCCGAATTTGTCAGACTTAATTATGGAAGGAATGGGTGGCAAGGATTCATGGATTGTTAACCTTAATGAAATCGCTCAGTTAAAATCACGTATAAATGATGTTAATTTTCTACGTCACTTGATACGTATTAAAAGGGAAAACAAGGCTAAATTTGCTTCTTATTTGGAACAACATTATGGTGTAACAATCAATCCGGCATCTCTATTTGATATCCAAGTGAGATTTATTTGTTTCAGTTAATTTTGGTAAATATATGTTGATGAATTGCTAATATCATGATTGTTCAGGATGATTCATTATATAAAAAGACGCTCATTTTGAACGTCTTAGTGTTATTGATATATATTCACCCTTACATGTATTTTGATTGACACTTCAAATCACCAAATAGGGTTGGTACCGCATCACTAATCGACTGAAATTAGGATTTCAGAACCGATACAGTCAGTGATAAGGCATTAAACGTGAATCATTATGTCGTCTTACATATTTCATTGCTGATATTGTCAGTTGTTCTATTTTTTTGTAAGATAAATGCTAATCCATTGAGTTGTGTATCACATTGGTGTATTTAACACAGTTTTTAGTCAGAAATACGTTCAGATTCACGTTATAAAACCCTCTTTAATGCATTCGCTTCACATTAAGTGATACTGTTGACGTGTTCCAACCATTTGTGTAAGATAAAAGTTTGTTCGTTCACTTGTTTTTTACAAATAGCTGAATGTTGGTATTAAAGTGATTCCAATTTTCCAATTGTCGGTCAAAACATGAATAAAAAGTTTTTAACTCATATGAACTTCTACTAAGAGATTCTATCTATTTTAGAAGCACTTTAGTCTTTCTTCTGTTTCGTTATCACATTGCATTTATTAGTGAGTTTTCAGAGTTTAGCATGAATAGCTTCTCAATAAACATTCCCTTTTAGTTACAGTTAATGTAGAGGGGGTAGGCTATAAGATGCTTCTACCAATTCTACTATTTCTATTTTCAGGTTAAGGATAAAAATTGCTAAACAACATATAGAACATGAATAAATTAGTAAGAAATATTCACTAAAAGAGTCTTTGACATATCTCAGGGAGCTTCCATTTCGACTCCGTTATCTTACTGTCAATCATCTCAAGTATCAATCTGAATCATTTTACAAAAAATATTTCCGACACTGGACAAGTCAATAGATTCATTACATACAACAGGATTCGGTATCACATATCAAAACTTCTCAGGTTTCCTATACCTGTTATCATACCAATCATATTAAACTTAACATTCCTACCACATACAGTGAACACTAACTATTTGAGCTTTCGAAATTCTACTTTCGATCTTTTAAAATCTCAGGTTTCTGGAAGTTCAATAACCACTTTTCCCAATTTCATATATATATATATATATATATATATATACCGTTGATATAAATACCTTTCTGATGGCAATTTCTTGATTTTCTAAATGTTAGGTCAAAAGAATTCATGAGTATAAACGTCAACTATTAAACTGTTTACATGTCATCACTTTGTATAATCGCATTAAAGCTAATCCTGAAATACCAATCTGTCCACGTACAGTTATGATTGGGGGTAAAGCTGCTCCAGGTTATCATATGGCCAAACTTATTATCAAGTTGATCAATTCCGTCGGTAAAGTTGTCAATAATGATCCAGTTGTGCGTGGTAGACTTAAAGTAAGTGTAGATAATTTTTGTTGTATCCATTTTGTGGTTTACCAGGCGTTCTACAGAAAAACAAAAGTCTGCACACTGATTGACTGTATAATTGAAGTATGACTCTACACATATTATTTTCCTACTTATTGTATTACTAATTTTCCTCGTTTGTTACCGTTAGCTAGCAAATTCAAAAATATGGTTGTTCTATATCATAATTAGTGGAAATGTTGTTAATGAATCGAGAAAAGTTGGACATCTGTGTATTTACTCTGGTTCGAAAAATTCATAATTAAGGAAATCTACTACCTTACAGAAATATCAGAGCTTAAAATGATGGTAGGAGGTAGTCAAAAAAAAACTCAGAAAGACCTGACACACATGACGTTAATCACCACCTAGTGATCAATCAAGTGTAAATATCAGAGCCTATTGCGAGCAACGAAAACTAAAAGCACCCTAAATTTACGAAGTAATTGGTTAACTTGGACAAATTGAATGTTAACGTTCTAAATAAGCTAAATACTTACTTGCTTACTTTCGCCTGTTACTCCCAATGGAGCATAGGCCGCCGACCAGCTTTCTCCAATCCACTCTGTCCTGGGCTTTCCTTCCTAGTTCTATCCAGTTCTTGTTCATTCTTCTCATGTCTGTCTCTATTTCTCGGCGTAATGTGTTCTTTGGTCTTCCTCTTCTCCGTTGACCTTCAGGATTCCATGTGAGGGCTTGTCTTGTGACGCAATTAGCTGATTTCCTCAAGGTGTGCCCAAACCACTTCCACCGCTTCCTCCTGATTTCTTCCTCTGCTGGAATCTGGTTTGTTCTCTCCCACAGTAACTTATTGCTGATAGTGTCTCGCCATCGGATCCGAAGTATTTTGCGTAGACAGCTGTTGATAAACACCCGTATCTTCTGGATGATGGCTTTCATAGTTCTCCACGTCTCTGCCCCATACAGTAGAACTGCCTTGACATTTGTATTGAAAATTCTAACCTTGGTGTTGGTTGACAATTGTTTTGAGCTCCAGATGTTTTTCGGTTGTAGGTATGCTGCTCTTGCTTTGCCGATCCTCGCTCTCACATCTGCATCTGATCCACCGTATTCATCAATGATGCTGCCCAGATATGTAAAGGTTTCCACATCCTCCAAAGATTCTCCGTCAAGTGTAATTTGATTTGTGCATATTGTGTTGTATCGGAGAGTCTTGCTTTTCTCTTTGTTTATATTGAGACCTACTGCTGTTGAGGCTGCTGCTACACTGGTCGTTTTCTCCTGCATTTGTTGTTGCGTTTGTGATAGAGGAGCCAGATCATCCGCGAAGTCTTAATCGTCAAGCTGCATCCTGCCTGTCCACTGTATCCCGTGCATTCCTCCAGTTGTTGATGTCTTCATGATCCAGTCGATGACCAGGAGAAAGAGAAAGGGTGAATGTAAGCAACCTTACTTAACATCGGTCTTTACCTTGAATGAGTCAGTGAGTTGCCCTCCATGAACTATTTTGCTGTTTTATCTCTCATGGGAATTCCGTACGATATTGACTATCATCACAGCCACACCGTAGTGTCGAAGAAGCCTCCATAGTGTCGTCCTGTCCACGCCATCAAATGCCTTCTCGTAGTCGATGAAGTTGATGTAGAGTGATGAATTCCATTCGATTGATTGTTCCACGATGATACGTAGAGTTGCGATTTGATCTGTGCACGATCTATCCTTACGAAATCCAGCTTGTTGATCTCGAAATTGGGCGTCCACGGAATCCTTCATCCTGTTTAACAATACCCTGTCGAAGACTTTTCCTGGTATTGAGAGAAGAGTGATGCCCCTGTAGTTGTCGCACTTGCTGAGATCGCCTTTCTTTGGTATCTTGATGAGAAGTCCTTTTTTCCAGTCTATTGGTACTTGTTCTTCATCCCAAATCTTACTGAGGAGGATGTGGAGTATCTTGGCAGTTGCTGCTACATTTGCTTTCAGTGCCTCTGTCGGGATGTTGTCTGGTCCCGCTGCTTTGCCGCTCTTGATTTGTCTAATGGCCATGCTGATCTCTTCAACTGTTGGTGGGCCAACATCGATTGGGAGATCTGTGGGTGCTGCTTCGATGTTGGGTGGGTTCAGTGGAGTTGGTCGATTCAAGAGTTCTTTGAAGTGTTCTACCCACCTGTTTCGTTGTTCTTCAATGTCGTTGATTACTTTGCCTTCCTTGCTTTTCACTGGTCTTTCTGGTTGACGGTAATTTCCAGCAAGTTTCTTTGTTGTTTCATACAGTTGTCTCATGTTTCCCTCTCTTGCAGCCTTTTCCGCTGTCATCGCTAGATCTTCCATATATTTACGTTTGTCGGTTCTGATGCTCCTCTTCACTTGCTTGTTTGCCTCTGTGTATTCGGCCTGTGCCTTGGCTTTTTCCGCTCTGGTTCGGCTGGTATTGATTGCTGACTTCTTGTTCCTCCTTTATTCAATCTTATCCAGTGTACCAACAGTGATTCATTCGTTGTGATGGTGCTTCTTCTGGCCCAGAACCTCTTGACATTTTGAAACGATTGCCTCCTTGATACCTTTCCAGTTGCTCTCCATGGTAGTCCTCTCTCCATTGAGTAGGTCATGAAAGGCCTGGAACCTGTTGCTGAGGGCTATGTTGAATTTATTGAGATTGTCAGCATCTCGAAGAAAGGCCGTATTGAACTTTGTGATGTTGTCCGCGTCGTTGTCCAGTGCTTCTTGAGTTTTAGTTTGATCTTGGCGACCAGCAAATGATGATCGGATGCTGTATCAGCTCCTCTTCTGGTTCTCACATCCTCCATCGTCCTCCTGAACTTTTTGTTGATGCAGATATGGTCGATTTGATTCTGTGTAGTGTGGTCCGGTGAAATCCAAGTGACTTTGTGTATGTTTTTGTGTGGGAATATGGCACCACCTATGACCAGTTTATTGAAGGCACATAGGTTTACAAATCGCTCACCATTTTTGTTCTTTTCTCCCAGTCCATGTTGTCCCATGACGTCTTCGTATCCAGTGTTGTCCTTTCCAACCTTGGCATTGAAATCTCCCATCAGGATGGTCAGGTCCTTGGTTGGACACTTCTCGAAGATCGACTGCAACCTGTCGTAGAATTGGTCTTTAGCGTCTTCATCGTAGTCGTTGGTAGGCGCATAGCATTGAATGACGTTCGTTGTAATGCACTCTCTCCTTGTTTTGAAGGAGGCTTTGATGATCCGTGATCCATGAGATTCCAACCCAATAAGTGCATTTTGTGCTTTTCTGGACAGCATCAATGCAACTCCTTGTGTATGTGGGGCATTTTCTTCTTCATGACCGGAGTATAACAGAAGTTCTCCTGAGGACAGTCGTTGTTGTCCAACCTGCGTCCAATGTGTTTCACTGATTCCAAGCACCTCCAGGTTGTATTTTCTCATTTCTGCAGCGATTTGGAAGACTCTCCCGGTCTCCCACATTGTCCGGACATTCCATGTACCTATAAAAATTGTTGCTATGGTTGTAAGAAGGTGCATCGGCTTCATGACTTCCGAAGGAACTCGGCTTTCATCATGAGACGTCATAATTATTCCTTCTACTCCCAGGGTAGAGTTTAAATGGTTTGAATGATTTTTTCTGGTTAGCGTTTTTTTAGCGAGTTGGTTTTCTACGGGATGAGGTCGCTAACCCCATGCCCAACCCTCCTCCTTTACCCGGGCTTGGGACCGGCAGCAACCCGCAGAGGAGCTACAGGCGGAGTAAATAAGCTAAATGATTTCGGTCAAATAGAAAATTTTCCTGTCCTCGCTAATAAATATTTTGAGTTTCTGGAATTCATCACAATCAGTTTTGCCTATTTCGAGGTTAACTTCATGAAAATATAACTGGGAATTCAACTTCAAACTTATACAGGTGGCCGCCAAAACATCAACCACAGTATATAGTCTAATTTAATAACGTTATAAATATTTTATGTTGCATTTACCTAGTTTTTACACAACGAACAACTATGTTGTATTGATATTTTGTAATCAATATACATGTTATTTCCATCTCTGTTTCTACACACTTTTTGTATTGTAGCTTATTTTCCTTGAAAATTATCGTGTGTCTTTGGCTGAAAAAATATTCCCCGCTGCTGAATTGTCAGAACAAATTTCTACAGCTGGTACAGAAGCGTCAGGTACCGGTAACATGAAATTTATGGTAAGTCACTAAAATTATTTAACTTAAGTCTCCACATAAAATGTGAAATGCTGGCTTGTTAATAAACATTCTGTTTTTTGAATTTCTGATTTCTTTAAGTTCTACTTTAACTTAATATCTTGGTTAGAAAATGATTATCATATTTGAGGAAGTAAAATACATCATCTCTCTTATTTTGAATTGCATTTCTAGTGTATTTTACTGTTTCTGTACCATCTTTATCATATATATTTCTCTTAATTATTACCATATGGGATACTTATCAATTTGTGTTTTCAGAAGAGGCTCTTAGATTTCCTTCCCTGTTCAAAGCTATAAGAAACTGACTTCATCTTGACTAAGTTACAAGACACTTGGAATGTGATCTCGAGAAAAATATATACTAACCTTGATGGAGACAATGACAATTGTTGTACTACTGTTTTTACTATCAATGTAGTGTAGCTGAATAAGAGGCGAAATGTAATTACTAAACTAGGTGAAGTCTGTAAACTTTCTTGAAATGCTGAGTAAGAAAATGTCTAGTCATAGATTTTTTGATAATATTACTCTTCCAGCAGAAAGAAATTAAGTTTCATTAGAGATAGCCATAATATAACAGTGTCTTTAGCAGATCTGAATTCCACAAAAATCTGTTGATTTCACTTGTGTTTTCTTTTTTGAAAACCAAAAACAACTGATCTTTCACTTTGGATTCATTGGTGTCAAATTAGGAACAGGAGCACTTTCAGATGAGATCTAATCTCATTCCAATTAACTATAATGAGATTATTAAGTTTGTACTTCCAAGAAGTAACATTTTAGAAAGAAACAGTACCCTGTCTTTTTTTCCACTAAAATTTCTAACATTTGTTCTATTATTATCGTTACAAAATTTGTCAGATCAGTTTTATTTGATGTTTCCGTATTGTTTGTATTCAATTTTAGATTTTTTGTTGATGATTCTGTTGAACATTGTATTGTTAGTATGTTGTTTTAAATTAGTTTGCGATATTTTATTGTAAGATGAAAACTTACTGGTTATTGTTTTTCTGGAAACAATTTCTCCATACTGTTGTGTATTTAGCTTAATGGAGCCATGACTGTTGGTACTATGGATGGAGCGAATGTAGAGATGTGTGAAGAAATGGGTCGAGAGAATATGTTTGTATTCGGTCTAACCGTAGAGCAAGTTGATGCTCTTCACAAAGTTGGGTAAGATTTAGTATAAAATTATAACAGTATGGATTTTTAAATCATATATTTGTTTTATTTTTACATGTTATAGGTTGTTAATGTTTTCCTTTTTGCTTGTTGATCAAATTATTGTAGATCGGCTTACATTTCAGCAAATAACATGAATTTTCTAACAATTGCATTTTTTTTACTCTTTTTTGGACAGTAAACTAGATATCATGTACATCTTAGTCTCCCTATGTTCGTCCTAAAAAACGTCTGTCATATATATATATATATATATATATATATATATATATGCACACAAGCGTCCCTGTACCACACACTAATACTATTCGATTGATTTATTGATTATGTGACATAATTCATTGGTAAAACACACCTTTCCCAAATATACAGTTTACATTCCACTGCAAAGTAAGTCAATTTTGCCATTCCAATATAAAATACGAACAGAACAAAATTCATACACGTTTTAAAAAAGATATGTGTTCTATGGACATTTTTGTAGGAGTAATATTTAACCACCCATGTATCAGTGGTTGATGATTTGGTCAGTGATTTCGTACAAGTTGTTTGTAGTCTTATCCTGCAGCTCTTCTAATCTTCTAATTTCAGTCCAAGTGATTTCAAGGGTGAATTTCATCAAAACAGTCAGTTTCGATCCAAAAATTATATCACTGAAAAACAGTGACTTCTTGCCTAAAGCACTATTATTGAAATACTTGCTTAGACTCAAGTAATTTAACTCTATGTTTTCATACATTTACTTAAATAGACAAACTAGAAATGATGGCATAGAAAAACAGGCATTAAAATGACAAAAGAATGACTCCTGTTTGGACCTAATCTAATAAAGTACTCAGTGTTCATAAGGATAAATGCTAACTTTCGTATGATGGTTATTCACGGTGACGAATTACTCCACTCTCATCTGAATAGGTTGATTCATGACACCAAACGGAATATAATTTCATGCAATGACGATACAAAGTGGTATGTGGCTTGGCTAAAAGTAATGGAATAGTTATTTGAGGCGTAAAGCGATACTCGAGAGTCATTTAGCCCTATTACGGACAGTGGTTTATATAGAATCATCACTGATGCGACCACTACTGTCCACCTTCAGATAATGACTTAAATGGGATGCAAATATTGACCTTCCAACTCTAACAAAAATTATAACGGTGTTATAAATCCAGATGTGATACAAAACAATGAAAGTAACAGTCTGATTTCGAAGGTCTTTAAAGATGAGTATAGAAATCAAATTCATTCCCTTCTAATTGATTCTGACAGTTTATGATCGTACTTTTTATGACAAAGATGAAAATTCTCTCGTGATAATCGTAAAATAATCAGCTTTCCTAATATAACCATGTTAGTTAAAACAAATAAACTGCTTTCTTAGTGTAGACGTAGTACTAAACCTGTTGTTTGAGATGTATTATAAGAGATCTGAACTTCAAAATCCTATTTTTTAAAATACATTAAGAAACCTAAGCTGTATCAACTACAATTGTATCCATTAGATTTTATTATTTCTTAGTATTATGGAATTTTATTGATCATTATGCCATTGAGTTACAAAACGCTTTTGCTACTTAAGATAGGACAGTATTATCTAAGTTACGAGAAAAAATGATAATGTATAATCAGTTTCAAATTTACAATTCAATCCAGAATGTGTTGCACAGTTAACTAAAAAATAAACCCACTGATAATGAATTCTTAATGTTTTCTATAGTTATTCAATTCAACTAACCGATTCTCACCAACCTCATAATAAATATTGAATGATTTCATTTGATGATTTCAATAAATTCTAACTTAGTGTAGAATATCCATTATTTCTTATTCTTATATAATAGTTACAGTAATTTACGGACAATAATAAACTTGTATAATTTATCTAATTATAATATATGTACTAATAAAAAGAATAATAAATATGTAAATAATTTACACTTTAATAATGACCTAAATTAATGATATATATCTATTCACAACTGATAAACAACATATATATATATATATATATATATATATATATATATATATATATATATATATATATATATATATATATATATATATATATATAAGGGTAATTCAACTACATGTTACCGGTTGATTATTAGATTGTCCTGAATAAAATTTTTTAAAAATGTAGTAAATACATTTCTAACAATTCTTTTGCTAAATATATTACTTACTTACGCCTGTTACCCCTCGTGGAGGAGCATAGGCCGCTATATATATATATATATATATATATATATATATATATATATATATATAATATAATATTTAAGATTAGTATTGATCGTTTGAATTAGAAACATTAGTTAGTTAGATATAGCTTAAAAATCTGTTTCTGTATGTATGTTTCTAATTTCAGTTATTGTGTATAACAACGTTCTTCTATATTACACTGTTCTATATTCTTGTATTATTATTTCTTTTTCTTTTAATAATTGATATTTCTTATTAGATTACCTATCTAATAAGTTCACTTAATTCAGTGACGTTTGGTTAAAATTTTGGGTTTAGTTATAATAGTTATATTGTTTCGTGTTACCCAATTATAATTTTAACATACATAGGCTAGTTGAATCATTTCATTAATGACTTAAATTATCCAACTTATTCATACTGATCTTGATATTTTAAGCTTCATTAACCAACAAACGAAATTAACATGAGTGGCTTTATCAAATTATCTAAACTAAACTTGTTGTTTTCCCTAACTGATTAACTCATTTTCTAATTCATGAAATGATCCCTTGGGATACGTAATAATCCGATCTGGTTAGTGTTATTCGTGAAATATGATTATCTGCTATTCATTTCTTTAATTATCATGCTCTTATTTATATTTATCAATCTGTCCCAGGTAATTTATATCTCGAATTAAGTGAATATGTTAATAACAGTCTCTGTCATAGTAGTTGCGATGTGGAAATTCTGTCATAGAAGTATTAGATTACTAATTCCTTTTAAGTGTCCTCTTGATAATATTTAATCCTCTACCAAGTTAACGATTTCGTTGAGCTTATGTTTTTTTGTAAATTGTGTAAATCACATATTATGTTTGTTCACCTGTGTCAGCTCAGTTAGTTAGTGCATAAAATTATCAAAACACTCTCTGCTTGATCATCCTTGAATGAAATTATAGACTTTCGTTGGGATGGTCTTTGGCATGAATTAACATTGAAAACCTAGATGACATAATTCAGTGTCATTTACTACAGTATAGATATATCCCGGTTTTATCTTCAAAATCTTAGGAATGTTTTGATCCATCATTTCTTTTCTCTTTTCAAGGACTGTATTTCTTATTTATTCTTATATCTTTTGATTAGTTATTTTTCTTTTTTGTTCTGTTAAAAAAGCACGGTAAATCGAATCTATTTACATTTGTGTCAAGTTCTACTTTGATATATTTTTCTTCAATTATCTTCTCCATTTTCAGAGACAACGTTAAGCAATATAGTTTTATGATAATATTTACATTATCCCCGTCTATTAAATTCGCATATTTTAAAAGTAGAATTATTATCAGTATGTTGATTCCTTGTGGAGTGAGTATTTCAATGGATCTACTTTTTAGGCACAATTACATTTTGATCTTCCTAAACACAAACATTTTCTTCCTATATCTAAATACATTAGTCCATTAAGTTAATTTTGAACAGTCCAGCTGTCAGTTAACGACCAGTTTTAATCTAATTTATTTTTAACTTGTTTTGCGTTAAAACTAAGTGATTGGTATAAAACACATGAAGTGTAGTTGTACACAAAAAATCCAGTGTCTCTGATTCACACTGTACTTGGTTATTTAGTCAAAATATGTAAGCTATTATAAACGAAGATGATTTATGGCTAGCAGTGGAATCCTGGAGGCGTGTTTCGTCCCGTTTCGGACTCGTACACTTGATGTATCTGCATCCTGGAGTTGATCTCCACTCCGGGACTCGAATGCAAATTATTGATTATATTGTCTATTCATTATTTTGATCTAATAATAGACTAGTAATCTTTTCAGTGTTGTATTAACTCAGTATATTGTGGTCTTTATCTGTCTTATCGCCTTTTAGTTATCATCCACAAGAATATATTGAAAAAGAACCAGAATTGAAATTGTGTCTGGAACAAATTCGAGATGGCTTCTTCTCTCCGGAAAATCCACATTTATTCAAAGATATATATAATAGTTTAGCGTTCGATGATCGCTTCTTGTTATGTGCAGATTATGCAAGTTATATACGTGTGCAACAAGAAGTCGAGGAAGCTTACAAAGTAAGTGAAGACTAAATATCTTCAAATGATCATTGATAACACGCTATTTTAAACTAGGTATATAAAAATGATGTCTTCCATTTTATTCTGTGTAATTTTTGAATCTGGTGCTGTTAACATACTATTGAACTGATTAGTTCGAAGACTAACAAGAGTAATTTATCCTTTATATGTAATTTTTCGAGGGCTGGAAACTAGTTAAAATAATCTCAAACAAGTGAGTACCAACTAATAGCTTCATTGATAATAAAAAATAAGCAGAACAACAAAGTAAAAACTGAAGTACAAGTAAATATTACGAGAAACTCTTTAATCATATGGATGTAGCTAAATAATGGGGAACCAAAACGTTATCAAGGTTTAATGTGACTTATCGATTCTTTGATTCAATTTTCACTACAGTCTTTGTTATGTTGATACAGATGGAGTATACTCTAGGTCTTTTGAAGCTAATCAAATAGAACTATTTTATTCGCTTTAGCAAAATCTGATTTCTTTATTCCTTATTCGAAATATGGTCATTTGAATGATACTCCTAGTTTTAGTAAGTAATATTTATAATTTATCTTAGCAAAACAAGTTACCATATTGCTTTTAATTTATTAAACAAAAGTGACTCATACTATTACTAGTTTGGATCTTTTTAGCAGGGTTTTATTTCATGAGTTGGGTTTGCTAACTATAACCCGTTTCCTCTCCTGCGGGTTCGGAACGTTGGAGGAGCTTCAGGCGAAGTTACTTACTTTTACTACTGGTCTTAATTCAGCTTTACGACAATAACAAAAATAATGATAGTAATAATTATAATAACTATTATTTCTTTATTCGCATTCATAGGATGAACTAAGATGGTCAAAAATGATGCTTATGAATATTGCTTCCTCTGGGAAATTCTCTTCTGATCGTACTATACGTGAATATGCTCGGGATATATGGGGTGTTGAGCCATCAACCATCAAATTACCACCTCCATTTGAACCAGCCATAGAAAAGAAATAGTTTTATTAAACAAATATGCAGACGTTTACCTCTTATGAATGCACCTTTTTTGTCCCATTACTTCCCAACCTCTTCCCCTATTGTCATTTAGTCCAGTTAGTAATTCTAAAAAAAATGAACAATAACTTTTTCGGCTGATGATTTTAAGAAAAAAAAATTATTCTCTGCTTTCCTTTACATATTAATCTATTTTCAACCTTCAATTTCATTTACATTGGTTTATTCATACGATAAATATTTTATGTAGAGAATATTTTTAATTCCCTTAATTTGATCTTATGAAATTACTGATAACTCGTTAATTATGACTGCTATATGTTATTCTTATTCAGCATGTCTTCAATTCGTAATGTAATGCTTGAATTAGATCTGATGCAAATAAACACATCAATATAAAGCATGATTATCATACTGTGATCGAATGTGTTGATCTTTAGCTTCCTCCTTCTCTATCTTCCTTATTTATGAGTATTTAGATTACTAATAGTAGTATTGGTATTAACCATTTTGTCATATAGGTAACTATCGTTTGATTATTATATTGAGGGGGGAGGAGGATAAAAGTTGATTTGTGTATGCGCTTGGTTTCAACAAAACATGACCTTTCTAATTAGTTTATTACTCAATATACTATTGTTACGACTAATATTTGTTTCTTATTTGTTTCAACGATTTTAATTTAGTTACTTTTGAGTAAAATATTATAAAAAAAACAACAACAATATAATTTGACTAGTAAGTGCCCATTAGTCAAAATAAGACACTAATTTTTGAATTGTTTCTATCACTGCATCATATTTATAGCCTCTTACACATAAATATAATCATTTCATTAATAATAAAATTAATAATAACGGTTTTCTTTTTACCATTGTTTTGTTCATTGCTTTGGTAAATTTGTTCGTAGCAAGAAATATCAGCTAGAATGACATGTTAATCATTATGTTCGCCTTCGAATTCTTATAGATATTTCCATTTATTTGTTGATAGATTTTTAAATTTATATATAAAAATATTTTTAAGACTTTAAGTATAATACATTAGTCTGGATGGAATAATACTTTTATATCCCATATCATTCGATGAATAACTAAAATACTGAAGTAATCAATGTTTTATGATGATCTTTGCTAGTTGTTCATGTATTTGTTTTGTTTTGCTCTAGGTTATCAGATATAGCATTTGTTTATGTCGTATCTACAGTGACTGAAATCTATACAGGTTTATCTTTGAATACAATCGCTATTTTTATGTAATAAGTTTTCTGTAGACAGGCTAATCATGTAATTATTTACCTTAGTTCATCTTTATCAGATGTTATTCCCAAGTAATAATGACGAGAGCAGTTGTAGATCAATATACATAACTTATCCAGAAGTGGAAGTTCCCGATTGATCACACAATTTACTCAAAAAAACGTAGATTGTCGTCATTGTCAGTAAATCAATAACATAACTGATCATTAGAACTGCTCACTGTGCACTGAAACATTTTCCTTATCCTTAAATTTATGAAACAATTTACATAAGCTCATACTGTCACTAACGTCAAATCTAATATTATTAATTCACTATTGTTTACGTGGTACCATAAATACGACGAACGACCAATCTTTCGAAAATGAGACACTCAGTCTCCAGATACAAATCAGTTAAAGTCACTCACGTTCTACATTTGTATTTATTCGTGTTTCAACACACCCAGTTGGCTTATAAGCGACATAATTTAATAGCATACCTAACCAAAAGAAACTATCTGTACATTCAGTATTTGTCTGTTATAACAATCAAAGATCAGTTTAAGTTGTAAGTACGCAATACTGAAAAGTCTCATACTATATAAAAAAAGACGTCCACTTCTCCATGGCCTAAAAGTGATAACCCAACATTTGAAAATAACAAAAGTGTAGCTACAATTTATTATTTAATAGATATCAGTAATAAAAGAAATTTCTATTACTGTGTAATAGTATAAAAGATTTCTAGCTACTTACTGTGACGACAATGTTTCATTGTGTCTCGCGCTTCTTGATTTACAATGTTCAGCCAGATAAAATTATGCCATGATGAAAATTGAACACGACATTTCCATGAAAAAAATATATATCTGCTTACTTATTTTAATTAGTGATTTATATTGAGTGGAACAGTTAACCTATGTAAGGTGGTAGTTGGAGATAGTCGACAGGAAACCCTGAATCTAGGTTTCCTGATACTTGGCACTCGACAGCATGGTCTACCTGTAATCTTGAGGAAACTGATGCTTCCTGGCAAATTTATCCCGTGTCACCCGGCTTCACAGTCAGAGACGTTACCACTGGGCTTTAAGGGTTGCGGCAGGCCTCCTGTAGGACCGAGATATATTTATAATTGATTGATCACTGGGGTAGTGACCAATGTCATATGTGTCAGGTCCTTAGGATATACTGAATTTTACCAATGAATTTGTGTTATATTGTGTGCGTGCCCAGTTGTTATATCGATTGAGTGCGTACGTGCTCTGTTTAGTATACGAATGATAAGACCGCCTATCAGAGAGGAGCGAATTATTGATCTGAGCTATGATACACAAAACTGTATGAACAGTCTTGAATACTCGTCAGTCCTGCTTTCTGCCTAGCCAAGCCAGTTAAATCCAAAACACCAATAACAGACTCTACAATATGAATTAATATTCTCAAACATTCTGGATTTACATACCAAAAATCTGACCACATCGTACCATAAAATATAAAATAACATTTGTACAAGATTTGGCTATATGTGGCTGTGAATAGGGGGAACAGTAATTAGTGAACTAGGGATAACTCAAGAATGATAAATCGTACAATAATAGTCTATAGATCAAAATACAGCTCATAGCAAATGAACATGAATACGAATAGTTAACTTATTTGGCAATAATACAATAGGAAATATACATATCACTTTGGTCCGTAAATAGTCCTCAAAGTTACCATTCATAATTCTCCACGGGATACAACAGTTTGAAGTCGCTATCCAGTGATCGATCATCTGTAAACAGCCTATTCATTAGGAATTCTTTTATATATATATACAAAATACTTCGGATCCGTTGGCCAGACACTATCAGCAACAACCTACTGTGTGAGAGAGCAAACCAGATAACATCCAGCGGAGGGAGAAATTAGCAAGAAGAGTTGGAAGTGGATAGGTTACACATTGAGGAAATCACCAAACTGCGTCACAAGGCAAGCCCTCATATGGAATCCTGGAGGCCAAAGGAGGAGAGAAAGACCAAAGAACACATGACGCCGAGAAATGGAAACAAATATGACAAGAATGAACAAGAATTGCATAGAACTAGAAAGGAAGGCTAAGGACAGAGTGTGTTGGAAAATGCTGTTGGGTGGTCTATGTTGCATTGGGAGTAACAGGCGTAAGTACGTAAGAAAGTATATGCTGCATTTCAATTGATTCACAATTACATAAATTTTTAGGTGTATTTTGTACATATACAATATTGTTTAGTTTCTGCCCACTCATTATCTGATAAACACCAATTATGTTGTTCATAGACATCAATTCGACTTATATCCATTACATGAAAATGATTCAATGAATGTTGTGTTATATTCACTTTAACAGTAGCTTCGAAATGTGCATATTCAGGTTGTACTATAATATGTATACGTAAAAGTATACTTTCATGATTGGAATCATAATTGAAAATATTGTTCTTATTATTATTGCTATTAAATATATTGAATTGTTTAATCCAATCTAGTAATGACCATGTTGAAGAATATTGTTCTTCAAACATTGGTATACGTCCGTCTTCATCTTGGCTGCGAATAAATCGAACCATATCTTGTGGTAGTATAGCTTGTTCTACTGATTCAATCTCAAATAAATAAGAGAATGAAAGAAGTAAGAAACATATATTATTGTATCCAAATTTACGAACGCATTTTAAGTATGAAAAATATTTTCATCATGAACTAATATCAAATGAGAAACCATAGAAAATTTACTGGGTATTGAACAGCAATTTTAGACTGGTTTTGGAACTTTTTAATAGTATATCTGAAATGAATGTATATCAAATCAAGTTGTCACGTTTGAAGCGCACGGCACCGGGTTCGAGTCCTGGAGTGAACATCAACTCTGACATTCAAGTACATCCATCTGACGCATCCCAAATAGGATGAAACGCGCGTCCTGGATTCCACTGCTGGCCACTTTTCACATCAGCATACTAAAAAGAAATGACTATGAGGATCAAAAGATCAGAGATATAAATATCATGAATCAATGCCCTATAAAGACTTAAGTTATTGATTAGCACTCTTTTGAGTGTTCAAAATTTTATAACCCAATGAACTGATTTATCATTTTAGTACTTTAATTTATATCATATTTCAGCATTATTCACTTGTTTCTCCTACCAATGATATCATGTCCAAAATGTTGCACTAATAATATTACTGTTTGACTGTTACACATATCCTTCCCTTGGAAAATCGAATATGTAATCAACTATATGCTGTTTTACTTGAGCTCCATAAAAAATATTTATTTTAAAGTTTAATAAAAATCATATATTTTATTTTTGATTGGAAGTTTTATCACTGAGAACCGATAAATAGATTGTTAATTTAACTATGATGAGCAACAATGATGATTAACTTACTTAGTTAGTTTTCATTCTGATAACTTTAAAAGAGACAAGTAAACAGTTAGAATGAAATGAACAGCTTTTTTAATTGCATAAACACTCATAACATTAAATTCACTTGGTATTGTTTGTTTGAATATTCCCATCGATATTTAGGACTTCAATTGATCAGTCTCTTATTGGCATATGTGCATACTGGGCGTATTGCCTCAATATAACCTTAATTTACAAGCATTATGAGCAAAGATGGATAGTGGCTGGCAGTGGAATTCAGGATGCGCTTCTCGTCCTATTTGGGACTTGTCATCTGGATGTACCTGCATATCAGAGTTGATTTTCACTCCAGAACTCAAACCCACATATACCAATGAAAGACTGATTAATTGCAGTTCTAAACATCAATGGGAAAATCCAAATAAACAATACCAAGTGAATTTACTTTAAACACTGTTAATGCGATTAGATGATCTATTCATTATACAATTAACTGTTTGTATTCTGTAATTTTGATACTTGATTGTAGTTCCTTGAGAAAGCTTGTACCAGATTGCTGATTGAAACTTAGAAGCACTGGAGTTCAACCGGGTCTGTTGTGAGATATTAACTCACTGAAGATAATGGTGGACGGTTGCTCAATTTCGTGGATTAGTTGAAGTTAGATATTAACACGTTGGATAACGACTCAGTGATCTAGATATGAAGCGTTCAAGTGTGAGACTGATTGATCTTAGGTTCGATTCTTGCTAGGCGAGATCGTGGATGAGTCCTAATCACAAGTCCAACAATAGAATGAAACGATTGCTCAGCCTAGCTTCAATCAACTAATGATCTCAATTATTAAAACTCTAAATATATTTAAATTAAAAGTATTCATGAATTAAAATTAACATTTATAAATCATACAATATATATGATTATTATCATCTTATAATATAACTTACTTGATGTAATTTAATCATTGAACATTGTCCATTTTTAGTTAAATTTGGTTTATATTTAATAATTATTTGATTAATTTTATTAATAATTACATTTGTACATTTTATAATCAGTTCATTATTATTATTTTCTAATTTAATCCAATTTAAACAAACACACCAATGTGAACTAATATAAGCATCATCACAATTACGATTTAATGGTATTGGATTAAATAAAGATAATCCATGTGAAGGATTCATTTGCCAATTCATATAAAGTTGATTTATTGTTTTAATATTATTATTATTATTACTATTATTACTATTATTATTATTATTATTACTATTATTATTATTTTCATTATTATTATTACTATTATTATTATTTTCATTATTATTATTATTATTAAATTTTAATTGATTAATTAATAAATCACGTAATGTTGCATGTATATCAAATAAAGTGATTAATCTATTTTGATTATTTTTTATATTAGCCCATTGATTAGACCATTTTTCTCGAAACATTTTAGGTGCAATAATTGACATAAATGGTAATCTTTCTTCTAATTTACCCTAATTAAAAAGAGAAAAAAATAAAATGAAATAATAAATAAAATATAAATAAATTCAATTAATATATTTTATTTATATAAGCAATGATGGACAGTGGCTTGCAGTGGAATTCAGGACGCGTTGTGCGTCCTAATTAGGACTCGTCAGCTGGATGTACCTGCATCTCAGTGTTGATGTACACTCTGAGACTCAAACCCAGTACCGTTCGCTTCGAAAGCCATCGCATTATCCACTTAACTACTGAGTTTGTATAGCCAATTGCTTGTGCTATCGGGTGAAGTTTAAATTCACTTGGTGTTGTTTACATGTATCTTTCCATTGTTATTTAGGTCTGCAATTGATCAGTCTCTTGTTGGCATATGTGCATCTTGTGTGGACTGCCTCGATATTGCCTAAATGGTGTACGTAAATTTTTTTAAAATAGAAGACGATTTGAATCAAGTGATGTGAAGATTTTAGTTTGGATTGATCTTGTATAGAAATACATGTACATACTATTAAACAATCAGTCCTAAAAAGACAACAATGTAAATGTTTGATATCACTTTTGTTTCAAGAATTTTTTAGCTAATATCTATGTCTAATGAAAAAAGCACACACTTCCGAAATACATAGGACTGATCACAATAAAAAACAGACATGGAGAGATTTTCTCCATATCTGCATATATGCACACAAAAATGAATCTCACAGAGGGTATTGTTATTTACTGTCTTACCTCCCTGTCTCGTATTCTAAATTTTACTCTGAACTTTTGTGATCAAGCTTTTATTTTCTTCGGTTTTTTTTATCCAAGCCTTCACGATTTGACTTGGGTTAAAATTTACCTTCATTATTTGGTTTTGCTATTGTATATTGCCTGGATGTTGACAATAAGCCTGTGTTTGAATAGACTCAAGGTAACGGTCCGGTTCGGTTGTTGTTTGTTATTTTTTGACTACTCACCGGGAACGGTTACTCTTGTCCTTTCGGATAGATATTATATCCCATCTTGTTGGAATACGCTTATTGATTCTCGTGAATCGAACACCTATTCATTACCCTTTCCGTTCTCTTTTTTGTTCTCTGCTTTGTGATACAGATGCCTCTGACTGTATTGCACAAGGTACACAGTTCGAAGTATTTTTTACCTTTGATATAATCCGTCTTCTTTCTTAAATTCGCACTGAACATATTCAGCATAGGATTTGTCTTGATATTGTAGTGACCTACTTTTATGACGAGAACTCGACTGGTATAATGGAAAGAATTATTGTCATGACTAATTGCACCAGTGATTGTTTTACTGTACCTGTTTGCCTAAGTTATAGCAGTTCACGTACAGTTGAGTTTGTTCATTTTTAATTTGATCAAGCCTTTTCGTTAATTTATTTAACGGACAGAGTCATTCGTACAATAACAACCCATCTATACTATTATACCTTTATTATGTACGCTTGAGCGTTGTTTACTGCATACGCATATATTCATTACGCTAGCCTTATTATTAATTGCTTAATTGATTCGATGATCCATTCATTTCCATTTTTATATATATGTACACCTTAATCCTGTCCAATAACTTACTGATTCTTTTACTCGCTGACTCGTCGAGTCGCACACTCGTTCATTGACTCGGTCACTCACTCGCTTATTCGACTCACCCGCTCACTCTCTTGCTTTACGGCGCTACTCTTTCATGCTTGCTTAAGGTGCCTGTAATTTTGGATATCCGTGTGTGGTCCAATAATAAACGTAATCAACACTTCGTATTCGCCTTCTGATTTATAAACCATTGAGGCGTTATAGAGTAATGGTTATCAGGACGAACAACATACGAAGTTTAAGGATAATATCGAATATCGACCGCCACAAGTGACCTATTTCAATACTGATTATTGAAATATGGACTAGAAGTAAACTTTAAATAAAATTATTTTATATAAGTTATTCATCAGTATTGATTATATGTCACTTTCAGAAGACAGCTTCAGACTGCTACCTTATGATATGGCACTTGCTGAAGTTATCAATAAATTATTTAGCAAGTGATTAATCCCTATATGATAGAATTATAGCTAGAACATAAATTCATTCCTTAATGATTTAAATGAAGTCTTTCAAATAAATAAATTATACAAGATCATTAAACTGAGTGACAAAATATGATTATGCAGCATTATATTGAAACTCAACATTTAGAACTGAACATGAATTGTTTCCATTAATCTTATTGATTGGCATTATGATATTGTGTTTTGATGGCTAAAAATAATTTTAGTGACCTCAGATGGACTAGTAAATAAACACACCTATATATGAGAAATGACTATTTTAAAATACCCAATGTTTTTCTTCAGTATGTTCTTGTCTCAATAAAGTGTAAAGCATTCACACATTGTTCTTGATTACTCGGTAAGACAAGTGTAGATTAAGGTCATATGGACATATCGATTTGCGGAAAAAATCATTCCACTGAGTGTCGAAGTTATGATTCAATGAATATGGAAGTTCATATTTTAATCTTCAAATGATATTATTTAATACGTCTTATCAGAGCGTTTTTCATTTAAAAACTAACTAAATTTTAATATTATCTTACAATGGGACCTCTCGATCTATTCTTTACAATTAGATGTGTTTTCTCCGAATTCTTTTTCGTGCACTAAAAACATCTCCGTTCATTTGACCGAAAAGTAAGTAATCACGACATATCATAAATGTTCAAATCTCGAGTAAAACATTAGTGAACAGTACTGCCTTCATTAAAGTTTGATAGTAGTTTGAACCGAGATCTAGGAAGCTTGTTTCATCCTAACTGGGACTTATCATTTCAATTAATTTGCTTTCTAGTATTAATTTTCACATTGTGACTCGAACTCAATATATTCTGCTGCAAACTTCTGACGAAATGGTAATATGAAAATAATACACTCAGGATGTACATATACCATTAGAGACCGATCAGTCTCATGTCATTAACATGAACAAAGAGGAAATGAGAATCGTTACAAATAATATCACTTCCAGTCAAATGTTTCTCAGGCTTAACATGAATGTACAGTTTATAAATACGTGTTGTAAAACATAAAAGCTGGTCAAAGTGATTTATATGTCAATAATAAAAACTACGTAGTTTATGTAGTTAATAAGATTAAAAATTCTCATCAATATGATGGTTGGTGCATCAAAAGTGATAGTGATAAAAAGAATAAACACAACATGCTAAAAGTTAAATACATAACCATTCAATGTAGGTCGAAACTATGAAACATCTTCAGTAAAGATCAAGTAACAACAAAGAACAGTGTATGGGAAAGGAAAGTTATTTGACTAGGTGAATAAATATGACCAAACTCTGTAAAATTGCTTACTGAGCCCTCATTATTTATGAGAACCATTAAGTATAACAAACTCTTGTTGAACTCTTATAATCTGTGATGTGTGCAACAGATGATTTCGATCACGTTGGCAACATATGGTCTAGAATTTGTTAGTTTTATCTTCTCCATAGCTGTTATGAGCCTAATTTGATAAAATGTGTCTTATTACTGACTTTGACACTTTTCAAACCACAACGGGAACAACTCACTACTCTATAGGCTCAGTTGCCTGGTTGAACTCCTGATATTATTATTATTATTATCATAAATGACTTTGTTTGACATTATATATTTAGTAGAATATGGAATTCTCAGCACAAAATATTTCGACAGGTTTGTGTTACAAAATAGGTTCCATCCTATGATGGAACAACCGCCTTGAATAGACTAGAAAATATCGGGTATAAACTATATTTCTTATAACCCTGGTAAGTCTGTCGCAAAGTATACCACTAGTTTGAGGTTAGAGAGGATCCTAGAGAATAAGTGGTGTTCCTGGTCTTTTGTTTACTGAATGCAAGCTGGAAATAAGACTAGGCGATACTCTACAGAGGAAGACTTTAAATGTAATGGTATTTGTTATTTTTTCACTCATCTCCGGTTACTGTTTCGATTATTATTATTGTTATTACACCCAATTTTCTTTTTTAACCTTTCTTTCTGTTGCCTTCGCTCGATGTACTGAAATGAAGTGTAGTCATTTGGATCGATACACACTTTAGATCAAGTCCCATGTTGATTTAGCATGTCTGTCTGTCTATCCATTTCCTTTTTGTCTATCTCTCTATTAAAAATTACCGCCAATTATAAACCTACAATTATTAACACTTTCATAAGACATTTTCAGGACAAACGATGGGGGAAAAATCCAAGATAAAAGGATATTTTGGGTGTCAAACGTCATATTAAACTTTACATATAACATCTATTGGATTATTACTATTCTATCCAATGAAGTGTAACTAATCAAAGTGTACTTTATCATAAACAATCATCTCAGTTTCCTATACCATGAAATTCAGATGTTAATAAATCAAGGAAATTATCGATAATTGTTGTAAATGAATGATTATTTCATTAAGAACAATAGATATTTGTTTTGTTTCATTTTTCGTAAATCTCAGAATCTCTGGCGCAAGACTGGTAGGTCCTGGGTCTGAATCTCGCTAGGCGAGATCGTGGATACGCACTGCTGAAGAGTCGCACAGTAGGGTGAAACGGCCGTCCACTGCTCTCAGGTTCTCCTTGGTGTTCTAGCTTCAATTGACTCATGATTTCAAATATGCAAATCTCAGAATAGTTTCTTCATTGAATTTTAAATCATCTGCAAAAATTCCGTTTAGCTTTCAGACAGATAATGTATGGAATAAAATATGTCAGTTTGTAAAAGTAACAATAGAGGTTTTTTCAGGATTAAATGATCAAAAGTAGTTAGGTTTATTCTGCCGATAGATGATTTTTCTTTCTTAATAAAAAAATTTTCCACAGCGTTAAACAAACACTGTAAACAAGCGAGCACTGAATAATTAATTGATTTTAATATGAAAGTCTGTGCTCGATAACGCATTAGTGATCAAACTCATAACGTTTAGGTCTAAAGATGAGTGCAACTACGTTAGCCTATTCAGCTAGTATAAT